GTCCAGCCTTACCACAGCCCAGAGGGAAGGTCACAAAGATTCTAATATTGCCCTGGGCTAATAGAGGTGAAGGGACTGGTCCAAGGGCACACAGCTGGCAGTGGCCAAGCTGGAGCTAGAAGTAAGTCTCCTGTCTTCGAGGCCCACGAGCTGCTCCCACCTTGGACATTGATTAGGAACAGTGTCCCAAGCAGATCACAGGAATGAGAAGGCTCTTGGCTCCAGCTCTGCTGACTCGTGGGAACTAGCAGCAGGAGGCACTTTCACCTGGGAGATGGGTATTTCTTCCCCTTCCCTCTAAACTGATGGGCACAACAAGCTCACACAATCTTCACGGTTCCACAAGCGAAGCTGCTGGGGCAGGCCAGGCAAAGAGCTGAACTTCAGTGCAAAGAGCAGGGTTTTCATTCATGACTCGCCACTAATGAGGCGAGTCACCCTGGCTAGTCACCTCCATGCTCTGGGTTTCCTCTTCTATTTAAAATGCAAATCTACACGTCTGGCTCCTGCCCAAAACCTTTCATTGATGTATGTCACCCACCTAGGTAAAGTTCTAGCAACTCCCCATTCAAGCCTGAGCTACCATACACAAAGAGGAACGTTCTACAGGAGGGTTTGGCCCTTCTGATCTCTTAGATACGAAGCCAGGAGGGAGTCGGGCAGGCGGTGAAGGGATGAGGACATTAACTAGGTTCTGTAGACAACAGCCAGAGGCTCCCCGGGGACTGAGCAGGCCCAGCCTGCCCTTGGTGAGCCCGTCACCTTGCAGCTACCATCTTCCCTGACCCACAGCGACTGCCAAGTTTCCCCAGACCACTTCCTTCTCTTTGTCTCCTTCTCGGGGTCGGTTCTCTCTGGCTCTCCCTCCCCAGTATGTGTAGCTCTGACACAGTGATCACAAGCCCTGGAACTTCCCTAATCAGCAGTCCAGGGACAGAAACTGCAAGTTGTGCTTCTCACCACACTCAAGCACGGACTTCCTACCCGCTCGGATGCCGGTCCAGTCCCCGAGTCAGACCTGTTTACAAGCATCATCCTGAAGACCGAGATGAAGTAAAGTGAAAATGAGACAATGAGCCATCCAGAGCTCAAAATTTGTCCGGAAAGTTTCCCCGTGGCGAGATGTAGACCCAGCTCTGCCCACAGGTTCCCTGGGGCTCACCACACCCCTCTGCACTCTACAACACGCAGAGCCTGAGCCGTTCCTCCTGCCCGGGCCCTCACTGTCTCTCTTTCTCTTTCTCAACCCACTCGACATCTGCCTTTTGCAAAACTCTTCCGAGATTGGGGAGGACATTGTTCACATGGTAGTAAAAGCATGAGCTCTGGCCAGGCACAGTGGCTCATGCTTGTAATCCTAGCATTCTGGGAGGCTAAGGTGGGAGGATCACTTTAGCCCAGGAGTTTGAGGTTGCAATGAGCTACGATGACACCACTGCACTCTCTACCCAGGGCAACAGAATGAGACTCTGTCTCAAAAAAAAAAAAGCATGAGCTCTGGAGTCAAACAGATCAAGACTGAAATCTCAGCTCTGTCACTTACTGACTGAGTGACGTAAGCGAGTGGCTTAGTCTTGGACCTTACTTCCCCATCTGTAAAACATTGATAATAATGTTCGTCTCGCTGGGCAGCTGTAAGGATTAAATATTAAATGAGACAACGTTTGCAGATTAGTCGGGGTACTTAGCACTAGCTGCTATCACAAAGATTGCAGAATCTCAGAGGCTTGATATGGTAAGTGTTCGTGTCTCACTCAATTAACAGGCTGATGCAGACTGGGTGTCTTTCCTGCACAGTTCTCCTCCAGGAGATGATTCAGGGACCCCCACCTCCTCTCATCCCCTTGGAGTTGTGGCCAGGCCTGGGAGTGGCCCCCATCAACTCATGTTTACATTGACCAAAACCCAGTCACATATCATACCTACCTGCAAGGGAGACTGGGAAATACAGTCGCCCCGTGTGCCCAGGAAGTGGACATGGGATTGCGCAGCAGCTGGCCATTCTCTGCGACATTATGTATAGTATTTAGCATAGTGCCTGATAAGCTGGAAGAGCTCAATAAATAGAAGACACTGTTATGAATACTTCCTATCATCTGTCCCTATACAAGTGTGGCTACCGGAAATCACAGAGTCATAGGGTGGACTTTTCAGGACACTGAGAATGAATAAAACTGAATACAGACCAAACCAAACACATGCATTTCTGTTTTCTTTTAAAGGTGGGGTAATCATATGCCTGGCAGGACTCCTGTGCTGGGCGCTGTCTGTGTGGCAGCAGGGTGCCTTGGAATAGCCTGCATTCAGATGCTGGCTCTGCCCCGAGCGAGGTCTTCACCTATGCCGGCCAATGTGGTTTTCTCATCTTAAAACAGGAATTCCAATTTACCCACTTCACAGGGTTCTTAAAAAATGCCATATTCCCCCATCTCCAAGTGTATAATTCCCCCTGCCTGGAATGCTCTCCTTATCCCTTCTTCACTTAGCGACCTCCTCCTCCTTCCTCAAGTCTCAGCTTAGATGTCACCTCCTCCAGGAAGCCTTTCCTATCCTCTCGCCTAAGTGTGGTGGAGCACCTGTGCCCTGTGTCCCCACGTTAACCTGTACTTCCCTTCCCAGAGCACTGCCCACAGCACATTAGAAACCCTGTTCGCTTTCTGTCTCTGGCTAGATTGTTTCTTGGGGGAAGGAGCCTTGCTTTGATCGCCATGTTAGCCAGCACCCGCGGTGTCTGGCCCATAATGAGTGTGCTCTCAATGTTGCTCATATGCATGCAGAATCCTGATCCCCCTTTAAATGGTAATGGGGTAAGACTTTTAAACTCTTATAAGTCAACAAAAAACTAAAAGTAAAAGACAAGTTCAGGAAGAAACTCACAGCTCCTTCCTCCTTAAAAAGATCAGGCAGAACTAAAAGTCATTTCAGAAGGCAGCCACGCCCCTGGGGTCATGCACAGGTACTCCTGAGCAATTTGCTATCTTAATTTCTCAGTCAAGCAACAGAGAGTATAAAAAAACATCTTCACACATTAAAAACCTGGCACTTGTCCTCCCAGCTGATCTGAAGTTGTGGCAACAAGAGCTGTCCCCTGAGGGCTGCCCTGACCGATCATGTGTCCTGGTGAGCCTGCAGATACCACTCTATACTATCCATGCAGCGGGGGCAACTCTGCCTTCACTGCCTCTCATCAACAGTGAGGCCTTTGTAGCCCCAAGGCAAATGTCAGATACAGGCTGCGATCCCCCACACCCCAGCAAGCCTGGCACACTCTCAGTCCAGGCCACTGGGCAGAGAGACTTCCACTCTGAAAACATTTAAAGAGGGTTTAGAGCTCCCCAAACCACAGAGACAATGCCTCACTAACTCCTGCACCACACACCCCAAGCTAATGTCACACACACCCAAGTTAGGGTCCCTTTCCCAAAAGCATCAGTGGATCAAGGCCTCAGGTTGACACCAGGCACTGCCAGAGAAACTTCCCAGGAGCAGGGAGAGACTGGGGAGCCTAGCCTTGATCTGGAAATGCCTGAGCTGCCCTTCTTTGGGCCCCGTGCCCTCTGAGAACAAGGGCAGGGCTCCAGGGACACACACAGTCCCAAGCACATATATGCACCTGGAAAAAAAAAAACAACAAAAAACTCCTAGGCACATGCTCAACACCACGATGGAGCCTGACTCCAGCAGACTCACCACTGCAAATCACATGACTGCAAGAGCACGCGCGCACACACGCACACACAGAAACAGGTGTCACCTCCAATAAAAAGTGAGGTGGACAGAGTTTGCCTCCCATGCCCTCATATCTTTGGTGCACCTGGAGGTAAGTCTCAGACGAGCCAAGTGACACAGAGGTGTGAGTGACTGAGGATGTGCCTGGGTGTGACACAGTCCCCCAGCTGCGCTGTCACCCTGCAGAAATAGCTCTGAACATAAGATTTCAGGCAAGTGAGGGAAACTAAAAAGGACTGGGAGATGTCGTGGACACTCTTCCAAACATGTTAAGTCAGGAAGCGGATGACCCTCACCCCACCTTCCGCACCTGCAGGGGCAAGGCTGTCCCTCTCCACCTGTGCCCCAACACACGTGTCCAGGCTGAGGGACAGACCGCTTTGACGCGAGGACACTGAGAGCCCAGGAGTAAGGGAAGGTGGAGTTGGCCCGAGCCCCGCCTCCGCCCTGGGAAAGTCATGCGTCTGTCCCTCGAGCCTGCGTGGTTGAGGTCAACGCGGAGAGGCGGGCACCCGTCCAGACTCCAGCTCCCGCAGGCGGGCCCTGGAACAGGGCGTCTCGATTTGCCCCAAGGTCGTGGATAGTGGAGAGCGGTATCTGCGGGCTCACCAGGACACATGATCGGTCAGGGCCGCCCTCAGGGGACAGCTTTTGTTGCCACACCTTCAGATCAGCTGCGAGGACAAGTGCCAGGTTTTTAATGTGTGAAGATGTTCTTTATACTCTCTATTGCTTGACTGAGAAATTAAGACGGCAAATTGCTCAGGAGTACCTGTGCGTGACCCCAGGGGCATGGCTGCCTTCTGAAATGACTTTTAGTTCTGCCCAACCTGCTACAACGTTGGTTTGACTCAGAGACGTGGCGGACGTCCCCGGGCAACGCCAGGGCTCGCACACGAGTGCTCCACCCCTGCTCTCAGTGCCCGGGACAATGTCCTTCCCCAACTCAGAGCGCCCGGACACAGCTCCAATGCCAACCTTGCTAGCCCGGTAAAATCACCTCTGACACCCTCATCCCACCTTCCGTACCGACGGGGGCAAAGCTGTCCCTTGCCACCTGCGCCCCAACACACACACACACACACACACACACACGCACACGCACACGCACGCGTCCAGGCTGCTTGGGCAGGGGAGGGGGGGGTGTCAGCGCTCGGTGGCGGGCGGGCACCCCTCTGTACTCCGCTGGGACGCGGCGGCCCGGGGGCGGGGCGCCTCGAGGCCCTGCCCCGCCGACATCACGCCGCGGGCGCGGGGCGCGGGCCGGCAGGCGGGCAAGGTTTCAGTCTCAGCCCGGGAGCAGCAGCGGAGGCGCGCGGGCGGATCCGGCTCCGGACGATGCGGCGCTTACGATGCTGCGGCGCCTGCTAGTGCTGCTGGCCGTGCTCCTCAGCCGGCGCCTCGGCCCGGGCGCGCACGGTAAGGCTCCGGGACCGGCCCTGCCCTCCCCGGCCCGCCCGCCCCGGTCCTCACCCCTCCGTTAGGGTCCTGCGTGCGGGGAGAACCCCTCTGGCTGGCCCCCTGGGGAGAGGGGCGCCCATTACCTCCCGGCCCGGCCCGGGGTTACCTCACCCCCGCAGCACTGAGTCTCAGCCTCACCTGTTGTGGAGGTGGAGGAGGCTGAGATTGACGGGGGCTGGGCTGGACAGAGAAGTATGTGCAAGGCCAATACCCCCCCCAACTCGTCGTCCCCCCTCGAGCCATACATTTAGCCCTAGCTTTTTTGCTGTTAGGGTTCAAATAATGGATCTTCTTGTCCCCCTGGGTAGTGATTTTGATCTTCTGACTCTCCTTTCCCATAGCCCTCTAATTAACTTCTCTGCCTTTGTCCCTTGTCACCTCGTCCCTCACTAATCACCCCCATCCGATCCTCGATCCTCGCTGCCTTGTCTTTAGCCCCCAACTCATTCCCACCGACACCTGCCTCCCTCCTCCCTGAGCGCAGACTCCTCACCCGCCGGCTGTCCTGGAAAGTTTTCGCCGCTGAGAAGAGTAAAGGCAGGAGAGAGGATGAAGGGGCTTGGCATTAGAGGGACCAAGAGCAGAGACACGGAGAGCAGGGCACAGAGAGGGCAGGGCAGCGCGGGGGCCGAAACCACTTCTACGTGAGGTGATGCCAAAATACAAAGTAAAACGTGCAGTCAGCTGTTCACATGGTTGAGAGCTCAGCCGGGGATGTGCAGCCCAAACACCACAGAGACTGACTGCGTTTTTCACTTGTTTTGAAACTGAGACACAGACTTGAGGATCAAAGACAGTATGTGAAAGAAAGAAAGCAAGAGACAGGGGCAGGTGTGTTTTCTGATGACAGAGCCAAGAAGAAAAAAAAGGAGCCTAATGAGATGATGAGAAGTTAGAGAACAAGGGAAGCAGGAGCAGAGACTTTGTTGGATCAAGAGGGAGAGAAGGGGAAGCAACAGGCCTTGAGCTTGCACTTACTTTATTCTGCTTGATTAGCAAACGCTTGAAGTCCGGGTGTTTACTGCAGTCTCAGAAATGAGAGACTAGGCTCAGTGCTGTGCTAGCTGTTTACGGAGATGTCCTCAGCCCAGCCTGTCTGTCCTCACCCAGCCAGAGGTGGGGCATCTGGGTACAGGCAGTGCCCTTCTAGAAGCTAGGGAATGGGGCAGGCACGCAGCATGGGGAGCCCAGGAGCCCTATGAAGAGAAACAGGCAGATGTCAACAAGCGGGCTGTCTGTATACCCAAGCAACCCCAGAGGGTGGCTTGGGCTTTAGCCAGGGCGGGGACCAGGGTGGAGACCAGGTGTGGGGATGCGGGGCTGGCCTGGGATGGTATTGGGACAGGGGTTGGGCAGAGCCAGGGACTAGCTCATCTGAGAGCTGGTTGCCCACGTGCCTCAGCCCTCCGCCCCTGCCTTCTTGCCTGGGATGCCCTTCTCAGCCACCACCGTGGCTTTGGATCACAGTACAGGGCAGTGATTTGAGGATACAACATTAGCTCCGGAATCAGACACAGCTGAATTCAAGTCCCCACTCTGTCCCTTGCTGGCTCCATTGGCTCGGGCAAGTCACTTAGCCTTTCTGAGCCTCCCTTTGTTCTTTGGTAAAACTGGGTTATCTTTGCCTACCAGGCAGGGCCGTGTGATCACTGAAGGTTATGTATGTAAGGGCTTAGCACTGGCGCTCGGCTCATAGCAAAGCACTCAGTGAAAGACAGCTGTTGTATTCCTAGCCTTCCTCTCCATTCTCCTCCTCACCTCTGGAGGGAGTGGGGGAATGGGGGCCTCTCCCACCTCTGGAACTGACACTCTTCTCCCCAGGGACAGAATTGCCCGGCCCTCTGTCTGTGTGGTTTGAAGCAAAATTTTTCCTCCATGTCCTCCACTGGACACCCATCCCAAACCAGTCCAGAAGCACCTACTATGAAGTGGAGCTCCAGAGGTAAGGACAAGGGAGGATGGAGGGAGGAAGGAGGTGGATGAGAGGGTGGATGGCTAGCCCCTCCTGCCTTGTTATGGAGGTGACACCAGGAGAGACTCTGACGTGTATCCACCAGCTGACAAGTACCGATTGAGACTTGCATGTGCTGAGCAGTGTGCTGGGAGCTCTGGAGTGAGAAGGCCGAAGTAGTGCCTTTGCCCTCCAGGCTTGTCCATCTTACTGGAAAAGCAGGGGAAGCGTCCACAACATAGTTGGAGGACAGGGAAACCCTAACAACTGCAAGCGCGGCTCGGGAAGGGAACTACTAGGCTGTGTTGCAGGGGGTAGCAAGTCTTTCTGGAGGGCCTGGGACTTGAGCTACTTATATTCCCACCTGAGAGTCTTCTAGACCAGCAGTCCCCAACCTTTTTGGCACCAGGAACCAGTATCATGGAAGACAGTTTTTCCACTGAGGGGGATGCGAGGAGGAGGGGCTGCAGAGCTCAGGTGGGGATGTGAGCAATGGGGAGGAGAGCGGCTGTAAATACAGATGAAGCTTTGCTGACCCGCTCACCTCCTGCTTCGTGGAAGGCAGTTTTTCCATGGAGCCGGGGGGAGGGGGAGGAGTGGGAGGGAGCAGCAGAGCTCTGTGGCCTGGTCCCTAACAGGCCATGGACTGGTACTGTTCCAGGGCCCAGGGGTTGGGGACCGCAGTTCTAGACCACAGAGAAATTGGTACAGGGTCCCAGAACCAAGGGAGACCCCCTCGAAATTAGATATCCTGGACTAGAGGAAACACACTGAGGGCTGTCCCAGTTTCTGCCATCATGGAAACTCTCTCCTCTGGCTTCCTGCTTCCTTCTTAAAGGAGCTAGGTTTGAGCACAAGTTCCTCTCCCAGCATCTACCCTTCTATCTCCTTAGGTATGGAATAGAGCTCTGGAAGGTCATCCCCAGCTGTAGCCAGGCCCTGGCGCTATCCTGTGATCTCACCACAGTGACCCTGGACTTGTACCACAGCAATGGTTACCGGGCCAAAGTCCGGGCGGTGGATGGCAGCCGGCACTCCAACTGGACCTTTGCCACCCGCTTCACTGTGGATGAAGGTGCTTTTCCTCCCCAGGACCTAGAACATGGCTTTCGGGGTCCCTTCCAGCCAGAGCCTCTAGTCTGGAGTGTTCCTCTCTATGCCCATAGCTCGCTGTGTAAGCCAGGCATCGGGGCCCAGGGACTAGGTGCCTGAACGGGTCTTGGGCAGGACTTTGTAGAAAGTTAGATGAAAATAGCCCAAGTCGTGTGAGATTTAAAAGGGAACTGGAGTTGTTTATCCTACAGAAGAGAGATCTTGGGGTGGGTCGGGGCAGCTGAGTCACGCACGAGGCCAGGCCCGTGAACTTGTAGGGTTTGGGAAGAGGAAGCAAATCCATAAACAAGGGCAGTAGGCAGCATTTGGATGAGGCCCTCTCCCTTTAGGGGTGAACTGCTGGGGTTTATCACTTTGAAACGGGGAGGTGCTAATAAAGAAAAGTCGGGAATCTCTCTCAGGAGAAGTAAGAGGGAAGGATGAGCCCTGAACTCATGGGATTCTTGCATTCCACACATCAGGACTGAGCGTGTTCTGTGTGCATGGTGAGCTTGCTTTGCGGAATTCAGAGTTAGAGCTGATGGTCTAGGAGGTCATTGGCTCCCAAATGCCCACCCACAGGCCAGTGTTCAGCAGTTTTCCATTTGTGGTTTTAATTGGCATTTCTTTGGTGATGCTTAGCAGTTTTTCATATATCTGTTGGCCATTTGTATGTCTTCTTTTGAGAAATATCTGTTCAAGTCCTTTGCTCATTTTTTAATAGGGTTATTTCTTTTCTTGTTATTAAGGAGCTTGAGTTCCTTGTATATTTTGGATACTCACCCCTTATCTGATGTATGATTTGCAAATATTTTCTCCCAATCCATGGGTTGTCTCTTCACTCTTTTGTTTCCTTTGTTGTGCAGAAGCTTTTTAGTTCGATGCAACCTCATTTGTCTATTTTTGCTTTAGTTGCCTGTGCTTTGGGGGTCACTTCCAAGAAATATCTGCCCAGATCAATGTCATGCAGCTTTTCCCCTATGTTTTCTCCTGATGTTTTATAGTTTCGGGTCTTAATGTTTAAGTCTTTAATGCATTTTGAGTTCTTGTATAAAGTGTGAGCTAAGGGTCCATTGTCATTCTTTTCTGTGTGGATATCCAGTTTTCCCAATGCCATCTTTTGAAGTGACTGTCCTTTCCCCATTGTGTGTTCTTGGCAACTTTGACCGTAGGTATATTGGTTTGATTCTGGGCTCCCTATCCTATTCCATTGGTCAATGGATCTGTTTTTAGGGCATCTGTATTTTTAATGTGCTCGCCAAGAAGTCCTTATGTTCTGCCTGGTTGGGAAACCTGTGGCCTAGGATTTAGGGTAGATAAAGCTTAACCCTGGAGGCACGGCACGGGGGGCAGGATACCCAGGCCTCAGCTCTCAGGCCTCATGGTTTTGCCCCTCTTCCCCCACTCAGTGACTCTGACAGTTGGCCGAGTGAAACTAGAGAGGTACAACGGTGTCATCCTCGGGACCATCCAGCCCCCCAGGCCCAAAATGGCCCCTGCAGGCGACACCTACGAAAGCATCTTCAGTCACTTCCGCGAGTACGAGGTTGCCATTCGCAAGGTGCCAGGGGAATACAAGGTAAGGGGTTCCCCAGGGCCACAGGGCCAGGGCTTCCAGGGCTTCCCCGTTCCCTGGGCTGGAAGCACCTTTTGTGTGTCACCAGGGAAGTTTGCTGTAGAGTAGAGGGAAGTCCTCGGTGGGGGGGGGGGGAAGTGGGGGTAGTTGAAATGACCTCAGCCCTCAAAGCCCTGCTCCTGTGACATGGGGGAAGGCATTGCCTACTAGGTGTTGGGCACCACCAGAGACCTTACACAGCCATTGCCTCTGATCCCTTGGTGGTGGACATGTGATCCCATTTTATAGATGAAATGAGGCCCTGAGAGGCTGTGTGACTTACCCGAGGGCACCCCTGTCAGTGGGACAGCTGCAATCTGCAAAATCCATCCCCTTTCCTCTCCACCACAGTTGATTCGAGCCCCTTCTGGAAAGGTCTTCAGCTTCTATGAAACACTTCCTTTTCTTTTTTAATACAAAATCAATAAAACAGCAGGAGCATTAATAAAAAGAAAACAAAACAAATAAACAATAACACAGCCAATTATGGTGATCACACAGATCTTGGGCTGTATTGACGATCTCAGAGTTTGTCATCTTAGCTAAAGAATGCTGGAGGGGGTTGGCAGCAATCATGGTAAGACCCCTCCAGCTCTCAGCTTCTGGGTGCCGTGAAATAAGAGAGTTTTGTTGATGGCTACTGTTGTTTTCATTTCAGTTCACAAACAAGAAAGTGCAAAATGAAAACTTCAGCCTCCCCACCGCAGGCGAGGTGGGGGAGTTCTGTGTCAAGGTGAAACCATCTGTCAGCTCCCGAACTAACAAAGGGCTATGGTCCGAAGAGGAGTGCATCGTCTTCAGCAGGCAGTGTGAGTGGTCAGGGCTGCTGTTGGGGTGGGGAGGGAGACTGGGAAGGCCTCGTACAATCTAAAAACCATCTGTTTGTGGCTGCTGGGGCCAGGCAGTGTGTTGGACTCTGTTCCACATAGCTCTCCATCCTCACACAACCGATGAGAGAGATCCTATTGTACCCATTTTAGAGATGAGAGCACCAAGGTTTAGTATAAGCAGCTTCCTAGGGTTGCACAGCTAGGACTTGGTAGCAGAACCAGGTCTCCTGATTCTGGGGTCCTTTCACTCGAGCACAGGTGATCACAGGTGTGTGATCACCAGGAACTAATGTCCCCCTACCAGGGCATCCTCAGTCAGCTGTTCTTCCTCTGAGCTGGGGGTACAGAGGCTTCTCCTTATGCACCCCCAGAGGAAGCAGAACTGAGCTGACTCCTCGCCTGAGCTGCTAAAGTCAGCAAACACTGCTCCAGGCTCTCAGCCAGCTGCTGGGCAGTAGGGGACGGGAGGGGATACAGGACATGGAGGCCATGGCCCTGCCCACAAGGACCTTGCAGCCTGGCTGGGGAGACAGACTCTGCACAGAGGAAGCGGTGACGGGCAACTCAAGATAGCATATGTCAAGTGCTCGATGAATCATGTCAACAGCAAGTGTTCCGGGAGTGCCAGTCCTATGTGGGCAGGGTCCAGCAAAGACAAAAGTGACTTCTTCTGGAGCTACAGTAAATTTCAGTTTATGATGGACACTCAATAGCTCGCTGTCATTTAAGTCCCAGTGCAGAGAAAGGCACTAACTGTATGTTAGGTGGCCTTAAGAGCTTTTTATACATTTGTTCTTTATGTCAGAAATAGTTTTGTTCATATCTCAGCTATACCACTTATGAGGCATATGACCTTGGGCAAGTGACTTAACTTCCCTGTGCCTCAGGATCCTAATCTGTGAAAATGGGGGGATGGTGGTATTAACCTCCTAAGGTGGTTATGAAGATCTGATGATATAAGTAAAGTACTTAGTACACAATGAGTGCTGTGAACTTCACAACCGTTTTACAGTGTAGGCACTATAATTTCCCCCATTTTATAGATGAACAAACTGAGGCTCAGAGAGATTAAGTCATTTGTCCACATCCCACAGCTAGTAAGTGGTGAAGCTGGGATTTGAACCCCAGGTCTGGCTGTCCCCCAAAGCCTCTCTTCTCACCTGCTGCACCACCCTGCCTCACTCGTTGTTCTGTTCGCTGCAACGTGAGTCATGTGTGGAGAGCTGGAAGTGGTCAGTGGGTCTAACAAGGGGCTCTTTCAAGCCATGGGTTGGAAGGCCAGGCAGGGATTTGCTGAAACCTAGACACATCTAGAGCTGTGGCCTAGAGGCTGCCTGGGGTCCCTCACTGAGTGGTTCCCAAGAGTGGCCAAGGCATCTCTGGGGCCTGTGCTCCATGTCCCATGGTGCCAGGCCACAAACACATCCCTCTGGCCTGCAGATTTCACCGTGGCCCACTTCATTATCTTCTCCGCCTTCGTCCTGCTGCTGTGTGGAGCGCTGGCCTACTGCCTGGCCCTCCACTTGTACGTGCGGCGCCGGGGGAAGCTGCCCTCCGTCCTGGTAAGTGTCCCCTCGGCCCTGACATTCTCAGGAGATACCATTGTCAAGCACTGTGGGGACAGAGGAAGGAAGGGAACACAAAGCCCCGTCCTGAGAACATCATCTTCTCTTAGTCCAGATAAGACACGTGTTGAACACTCACAGACCTCAGTGACCACAAGTCGTTTGGTTATCCTCTGCTAATAGTTGGCCATGGACTGCCCTGTGCATGGTACCTCTGAGGCAGACACAGTGATTATCCTCATTTTACAAGTAGGGAAACTGAGGCACAGGGAGATTGTTACATGCACAGGGCCACACAGCCAGGAGGAGTCAGGGGTGGAGCCCTTTTCTCCCTCGTGGCAATGGGTGCTCTGCAGAGAGAATGAACAAAGGGCTGGAGTGCTGGCCCCTTTTGCAGTCAGGGTGGGCAGGAGCAGAGCGGAGAGGGGATGCTGGGGAGGAGTGTTGGTGGAGGTGGCCAGGACCTGTCCCCTCCCAGGTGTGTCCTCTTGCTGTACCGTACTGACAAGTGATGCAGCTGTGACAAGCCACCTCCCAAACTCAGCCTACAAGGACTGAGCAGCGTTTTCCAAACCTCGGCCATCTCTGGCCTGGAGTTCAGGCTGCATCGGGCAGCCCATGCTGCCCCCACGGCTGGCGTTACTGGGTGTGAGCTGAGTGCTCAGCTGAGGACCCAGCTCGGTCAGTGAGGCAGGGGCCCCAGAGGAGCTCACAATTGGAAGGGAAACCTCCAGAAGGATCCTGGAATCTCTGGGAAAAGTAACGAGAGAGACAAAGGCTCTCTGAAATTATTCTGAGTAGGAACTCCAGGAAGTGTGCATGTGCAAAGGGTTGGCGGGTGGGAGGGCAGGACTCCCTGGTCTAGTTAGGGTCTTCATCTAAGCAAAAAAGAAACGGGTTCCCAGCTGCAGTCGCCTGGGTAGAAAAGTATGATGAGGAGGCTGAGGACAGACAGCCCTACAGCCTTTGGGGATTGTAAAGTTCTTCCTTGTGTCCAGCTGAAGTGTGCAACTCATTGTCCTTTCTCAGTGCTCTTGGGAGATCCAGTTTTACAAGCAGGTGTTCATTGGGCCATTTAACAAGCGCTTAGAGTGTGCACTGTGTGCGGGGCTTGGAGCCGGGATGGTGGTGGTTTGCGGATGAATGTGCCCTGGAGCCTGTCCTCAGGGATGGGAGATGGGGACACGGGTGGGGGAAGGGCGGTCCTGGTGCATCGGATGGGAGATTCTCAGTCAGGGATCAGGAGAGGCATCTAGAAAGAACGAGGCGGGAGTTGAGCTGCAGTTACCGAAGCCCTATTATCCGCACATGCACTGTGTTGTAGGGAAGCAGCTGATCCGTGTGGCCCCTGGTCCCGCAGGGCTTGATTACAGACAGTGTCTAAGCTGTTAACTTTAATGCAAAACAAGGAGATAGAGAGGCAAAAATGCCAAGAGAAATGGCAAGCGTCTTCTGTTGTTTTCTTCCTTTCGGTACATCGTAATCACAGAATTGACTTGTCTTTGAGGGTTTTTTTCTCCTCAGGATAAACACAGCCCGATTCCTTTCCTTTAATGCTCACAGTCCTTACTAACTTTATTAATCAATTACGATGCACAGAGCACTTCCACGTTCAGTAGTATGCTCTCATTCGTTAGCTGGTTTGATCAGATCTTTCAACAATCCATTAAGTATAAATAAGGTTAGGTATTATTGGACAAGCAAGGCATTTCAAATTAGAACAGGTGATTGCAAATTCAATCAACTCTTTGTTCTTTGCTGCTGTGTGCCTTTGTACAAGTCACTTAACTTCTCTGAGCTTAAGTTTTCTCCTCTAGGAAGTAGAGGTAATAATACTTCCCTTACAGAATCATTGGAGGGTAAAATTTAATTCCTCATGTATTTATTGAGTGCTTCCTATGTACCACAGTTTGTTCTGAGTATTTTACATGCATTAACTGCCATATAAGGAGGCAGGTACTGTCATTATTTCCATGTTCCAGATGAAGAACTAAAGCACAGAGAAGGTATGTCATTTGGCCAAGGTGACAAAAATGGATAAGAGGCAGAGCTGGGATTTGAACTCATGAAGTCTGGCTCCTTAATCACCAAGAGATGTGATAGTAATAGGGACTCAGCCAATAAGAGTTGCATTTGAGTCATCACGTACCCAGGAAAATAAGGGAAGATGAGCAACAGTGAGTCAGTAAGTCAATCAACAAACCTTATGAGTGCCTACCGTGTGCCAGTTCAGTTTAGGCTCGGGGGATAGAACACTAAACAAGACTAGACAGTTCCTGCCCTCAAGGAGTTCGTGTTGGTTTGGGAGAGGGGAGCGAGTGAGTGTGTGTGGTTGGGGTGCAGAAAAAAAATAAGTGAAATAATTCCAGGAACTAAGTATCATGGTAAGAAGAAGTAAACGAGGTTAATGTGGAGAGTGGCTGGAGCACTGCTTTGGCCAAGGTGGCCACCAAGGCCTCTCTGAAGAAGTGACATCTGAGCTGACACCTGAACAATGAGGACACGGCCATACAGAGGGCTAAGAGGAGAGTATGCCAAGCAGCAGGAGCAGCACGTGCAAAGGCCCTGCCACAGCGCCGTGCTTGATGTGATCTGGGGCGGAAAGGACACAGCGCGGCTAGGACTGAGGAGCAAAGGGGAGAGGGTTACAAGACTTCTCTGGGGCCCTGAGCAGTTAATGGGGAGCAGGGCTTTGGCTGCATGTTCTGTACCTGTTCCACCACCCCATGCTGCAGCCACTCTCTTTGTGCGGGTCACAACTCAGGGAATGGAAGAGTTAGCTTGATGTCTCGTTGCCAGAATTTGAAAAACTGAAATGGGTAGGATGGAATAGAACAGAACAGAACAGACAATATAGCATGGCACACAGGTCATAATGATAAGTATTATTTTGTGAAACTGGCATCAGTCACTTACATATGAGTTATATACATATATATGTTATATATACATACATATATAATGTAACATTTATTTCTTATTTTGGGTCATAGTCAAAAAGCTTGAAACATGCTTCTAGATGGGTCTAGCCTGCTCTCAGGTTTGAAGAGCACTGTGGAGGGAGCCACCTGGGAACTTTCACCATTCCTGGCAGGTTCCCATCCTGCCTGCCAACCCTCCTGGGCTCCGAGAATACAAACTTCATATGTATCTTTCCTGAACCAAACTGAGAATTGCATTAGAAAGAAAACTTGATTCTAACATCAAAAAAAACAACCAAAACAGAACACCAGAATAGCCTGCAGTGTCATGCAGTCTCTGCAGTCCCCTCTAGTGACGTTCTCCTCCTGGACTCGGGGCCTCACCCGGCAGCACTGGGGTGGGTTCCCACGGGTGAGCCCCGCCTCTCTCACTCTGCCCTCTTCTCCCCAGGTCTTCAAGAAGCCCAGCCCCTTCATCCTCGTCACCCAGCTTCCCTGCCCGGAGACCCGAGACACCATCCACCCCCTCGACGAGGAGGCCTTCCCCAAGGTGTCCCCGGAGCTGAAGAACTCGGACCTGCACGGCAGCACAGACAGTGGCTTTGGCAGTACCAAGCCATCCCTGCAGACTGAAGAGCCCCAGTTCCTCCTCCCTGTCCCCGACCCCCAGGCTGGTGGGACTCTAGGAAACGGGGAGCCCCCAGAGCTGGCGGGCAGCTGCAGTAGTGGCAGCAGCAACAGCACGGACAGCGGGATCTGCCTGCAGGAGCCCAGCCTGAACCCAGACATGGGGCCCACCTGGGAGCAGCAGGTGGGAGGTGACTGCAGGGGCCAGGACGACAGTGGCATTGGCCTAGTCCAAAACTCTGAGGGACAGCCTGGGGACACACAGCATGGCTCAGCCTTGGGCCATGTCAGCCCCCTGCCACCTGAGGTGCCTGCGAAAGAAGACCCAGCCTCAGTGGCATTCCAGGGCTACCTGAAGCAGACTAGAGGCACAGAGGAGAAGGCAACCAAGGCAGGCTGCCTGGAGGAAGAGTTCCCCTTGACAGAAGGCCTTGGCCCCAAACTCAGGACGTGCCTGGATGTTGAGGCAGGCTGGCCTCCACCAGTGTTGGCCAAGGGCTACTTGAAACAGGATCCCATAGGAGTAACTCTGGACTCCTCAGGAGTCCTGACTGGACAACAGAACCAGCCAACTGAGGAGTGGCTGCTGCTGGGCTTGACCAGCTGCGGTGAATTGGAAACATGTGACTGGAGCTTACCCCATGATCTGGCCGCCCCAGGCAGTCTCCTGGGCAGCTTCAACTCGGACCCGGTCACTCTACCACTGATCTCCAGCCTGTACTCGAGTGACTCAGGCTAAGTAGCTGCTTTGACTTCAGCCATGCCTGGACCAGAAGGAGGGCCCCAGGAGTGAGCAGTGAAGCATGTGACAGCCTGGCACTGCTCTGCGAGCCCTCTGGGGCCAGCCCTTGCCGGGTCCCGCAGGGCTGGCCAGGGTGTCCGGGGCAGAAAGAGGTCACCTCCCTGAACTGGTACAGGGAGTGTGGGTGGCATTGGCTCGTTCTGCTGACTGGGGCCCTGCAGATGGGCAGAGCTGAGACGGGGAGGGAGACCTCCCTCTCCTCTGGACTCCTTCCTGTATTGTGGAAGGACGATTTGGTCAGGGAAACCACGGGGTTTTCTGGAGTTGCGGTGAGGCTGCCAGGCTGAAGTCAGCTCAGTGTTCACCCTGCGGCCCGCCAAGTTCAGGGCCTCTAGCAGGAGGGAGGGCTGAGAGGATGGAAGCCTCAAGGCCTTGCTGCAGGGGCCGTTTCTAGGGGCAAAGGGAGAAAGCAGAGGCTGAGTTTGATCTCTGGGGTGGTCGAGTGGAGAAGCTCCCCTACTGGCAGGCCTCTCAGGCAGGGAGCGTGGCCTCGGAAGGTCTTAAGGTGTGTCTGCCCTGGAAGGCCAGTTATCCAATCAGTGCATCACTATGGAACCACAGGGGGACACGGGGAGCTGAGACCCTGAATGGGGCATCCAGCTCAGAACTGTCCCTCTGGTGGGGTATCTCTGGTGTCCATGTGCAGACACCTCCCCTCTCTCCAGCAAGCAGGGCAGCCCCCCCTGGGGCACTTGCTGTGGCCAAGTCACTCCCATCCCCACCCTGCTGCCGTACCCTCTTGCTGACAGTTCCAAGCAAGCATGGTTGTTTCTGCTGGTCAAAACCCAGCCCTTCAGGTAGCTTCCGGGCCTGGGCACCAGCTCGGGTCAGCCTCAGAGAGCTGGGGTTGGGACCTGCACTTTCGGACCCAGAGGACAGGGCGCTGGCCACTGGGCTGGGGTCACTGCTCTCTCAGTGTTCAGCTTTATGATCTTGGACCATCTGCTTGTCAGAGGGCCTCAGTTTCCCCATCTGTGAAATATGGGCTCCACCCATAGGGCGTCTTCCCTGCTGCACGTTAGCCACACTGGCCTCTAGGGTGACAATTCTGGCCCTGCCTGACTCTGGACTGGGAAGAGGGAGCCTCCAGAAGCCATCTTCCCAGAGCCAGCTCTGTCTCATGCCGAGCGAGGCTAACAGACCTAGCAGGAATCCATGACCTCATGCCAAGAGAGTACCAGTGCCTGGGCCCAGAGAGTGGGCAGGGATTGGCCCTGCGTCCCGACAGTCCATTTGGAATCTGTCTTCAAGCAAAAGTAGCTCGCCGTGCACAGGCACAGGAGCTGGGAGGGCCACCAGCCTGTGTGTGCCCTCCAGAGCCATCCCTTAGCCCTGCGTTTCTCGGTCACAGTCTGCAAACAGACATCCTGGCCCGGGGAATCCAGCCATGACCCCTACTGCCCAGACACCCTTATGTGCCAGTCTGATAACTGAACTCCCTCTGCAAACAGGCTTGAGGGAGCATTCCTCAGGGTCCCTTGAAGGCCTTACTTATTTATTTTGTGCTTTTATTTATTGAAGAGGTAGCGTGGTACAGCGAAAGAACTCTGGGTATCTCAGGAGGCCTGGAGTTCTAGTTCTGACTCTGCCGTTTCCAGCTGTGTGACCTTGGGCGGGTCACTTTTCCTCTTCTAGCCTCAGTTTCCTCACCTGGAAAACAATGACTGACTTGTCTAATTTGTAGGGATGTGAGGTGCCGCTGAGGAAATGGTTGTGAATGTGCCTTGAACACAAAGCTCTGTAAATGAGTGACGTATGTTTTGTATTCTAATAAATTGTCAAAACTACAGGAATCGTGTGAAACCAGCGAGGTTTCTGATGCTACAGTGGCTGGCGGAGGACTCGGTTGTTGATGATTGAGGGTGATAACGGATGGGATGTGCAATGATGCTTTGAAGAAACAGGACTGAGGACTCAGGTTCAAATCAGGCAGACCCGGGTTCAAGTCCTCGTGCTGAAATGCATGGTCTGTGACCTTGGTCAAATTGTTCATACTTGCCCTCTCCAAGTTTTCATTTCCCCATCTGCAACATGGAGCTGACAGCTCCCCATGGGGATGTCGTGAGGTTTGAATGTAAAGTGAAATGGACCGCTTTTCTTGGAAACCGGTGAAAATGAAAGAGATGAGTATGCAGGGCCGGGCTCTGTGGCTCACACCTACAGTTCCAGCTACTTGGGAGGCTGAGGCAGGACGATCGCTTGAGCCCAGGAGTTGGAGGTTACAGTGAGCTGATTGTGCCCCTGCACTCCAGTCAGAGTGACAGGGCAAGACTCTGTATCTAAAAAAAAAAAAAAGCATGCAGACGGGCTGTTTCAGAAGACTGAAAAGGAAATGGTGGAAAGTACAATGCGACATTTTGGATGTGAATTCTGACAACTTGGAAAAGAGAGTCTGTAAGCTTCTCCCTTCCGGGAAGACAGCAAATCAGCCCTCCCTGGAGCCTTATCACCTGCCCCCCTCACCCTGGAGGTGTGTCCTGGCCCAGTGCGGAAGCCACCTGCATTTATTTACTCTAGAAGCAGCCTGCTCCTTCCACGAAAAGCCACACGTGGGTTTGAGTCTCTCCCTGGGCTCAGCCCAGCAGGTAGAGCAAACCCAGGCCTGCGGCGGAGCCTCCCGTGTGCTTTGCTCTTGGTCCAACCCGGATCCCCAAGGAGGTGGCCGAGGACACCTCATCTCTTTTCCCTGGTGTCATCTCCAGCCATGCCTCTCCCCCTTTCATTCTGAGAAAAGCAAGGTTCTGGGGAAGCGCTGATTCTTATCACCTTCAGAGAACTTGACTAACATCACACCAATTTTGAACCTGCTCGGACTTTTCCCCTGGAGGCCTCCTTGGCAAGGCTGGAAGTGGAGGGGGAGATGGGCGCCTGCTCCGGGAAGTCAGGGGCTGGAGATGGCTGATTCCTAGAAAAGGCCCCTGAGGCAGGTTGGGTGAAGACTGACTGACCAAGGGGTGGCTGTAAAGATTCAGAGAATAAGAGGAAATATCTTCAGGAAACTGGGGCTGCTTTGGTTGGAAGAGACGGGCTGCAGAGCTGCCTGCGGGACAGAACGGAGTCAGAAGTGGCGCTCGGTGCATGCATTCGGGCCGTGCTGTTCCTCTCCCAGGACAGCCCACTCCTGCCACCCCCGCAATGCGGCTGCTCTCTAAGCCCTGGTGCAGCCGGGCCGGGGAGGAATGGAGAGGGTTCTTCCAAGCAGCCGGGGCTGATGAGACACTTCCAGACTTCTCGGGAATTTGGATTGAAGTCCCCAACAGAAGGCCCCGATTGTTCTTCAACTGAGAAACCTCCTTCAAGGGCTTTTCCAGGCTGAAGAATGCGTGATTCTGTGTTTCTGTGAGCGAATGGAACTTCCTCTTAGCAGGGAGAGAGGGGAAATGGGCAGACATTGACTGAAGAGGAAATTCTATTGAACTGTGTTTTCCCAACTTTGTAAATAGCTGTTGACAAAGAGTCTGCCTTGTCCTCCCCAGAGTCTTTGTGCCCCTCCCCCGAGCATACACTTTCGCAGAACACACAGGTCCCTGGGAGAGTGCGTGCCACCCACGGGTCCCACCCACGGAGCCCACGCTGCTGCACGGCCGGGTGGAAGTCCTCGGAGCCCTGCGTGCAGTCGGCAGAGAAAGGGAAGCCGTAGGCTGTGCCCACCCACAGCAGATCTGTAACCCTGCGAGGCAGGCAGGTCCAGGCAGTTCGGGCGATTTTATCTAAAGGACACTAGGTGCTAGGGAGCTTGACTCATTCATTTCCTGTAGTGCTCATGGGTTTAAAGACGCAAGCCCAGTTTGGGGTTTGAAGTAAACCCACAATTTAGAATTCAATGCATTATTATCAATGCCCCATGACACCTTTCCTCACTATCACCCTGGTCTGAACTTCACTTAATTTTCCATAAACCCCAAGAGGATTGTGGAACCCGGTAAGCACTCTGATGAGAAAGGGTTGGGAAGGATGGAATTGGTGTCTGAAAAAGATGAATCTGGCCAAAGTATACGACATGAATCAGAGGGGAATGAGGCAGGAGGCAGGGAGACCTGATTGGAGGTTTTTATTGTAGTCGGCATTCCATTCTTTCAACAAATGTATTATTAAGCACCTACTATGTGCCAGACATGGTGTTCGAAGTGGTGGGTACAGAGTTGTGAACAAAAGAAGCTTGGCTTCATGGAGTGTGCCATCTGATTATGAAGAGAAATGTCAAGCAAATACACACACTAACAGATATATTATTACAATCAGAGATAAGTGGTGTGAAAGAAACTAATACCCCAACCGCACAAGGGATGAGGCAGGAAGCAGAGAAAAAGGGTAGGAGGCTATCTTAGCTTAGGCTACTCTAACAAAATACCATAGACTGGGGGTCTTAAACAACAGACATTTGTTTCTCACAGGTCTGGAGTCTGAGAGTCCAGGATCAAGGTGCCAGTTGATTGAGTTCCTGGTGAGGGCTGGCATGCCGACAGTTACCTTCTTGCTGTGTACTTACCTGGTGCAGAGAGAACAAGCTCTGGCCTCTCTTCTTTTTCTTCTTCTTCTTTTTTTTTTTTCTGAGACAGAGACTTACTTTGTTGCACAGGCTAGAGTGAGTGCCATGGCATCAGCCTAGCTCACAGCAACCTCAAACTCCTGGACTCAAGCAATCCTCCTGCCTCAGCCTCCCGAGTAGCTGGGACTACAGGCATGCGCCACCATGCCCGGCTAATTTTTTCTATATATATTAGTTGGCCAATTAATTTCTTTCTATTCATAGTAGAGACAGGGTCTCGTTCTTGCTCAGGTTGGTTTCGAACTCCTGAGCTCAAACGATCCGCCCGCCTCGGCCTCCCAGAGAGCTAGGATTACAGGCGTGAGCCACCGCGCCCGGCCTCTTCTTCTTATAAGGGCACCAATCCCATCATGGGGGCCCCATCCTCATGATCTCATCCAAACCAATGACCTCCCAAAGGCCCCACCTCCAAATACCATTGTACTGAGGGTTGGGGCTTCAACATATGAGTTTGGAGGGACACAAATATTCGGTTCATAACTGAGGCTTATACAATAGTCCAATCCAATGACAATATTGAGCAGGGGCAGTGAGAATGGAGAGAAAGGGACAGATGGAAAGGACATTTTAGAGGAAGAGTTGGCAAAATGGAGTATCAGGCTGGAGTCGAAAAGAAGAAGCAGTCAGAGGTCCTAATCACGCTTGAACCCCATGATGAGAAAAGTGAAATATGGATGTGGAAGGGAGACACAGGATTGAGGGGAGAGGGGAGATGGCACTGTGAGGGCCAGGGATTCCCTGTGAGAGCGGACGAGCCTGAGCCCTTGGTGTGGAGACGAAGACACAGGCTTGGAGAAGCTCCCCATCCGCCCTGCAGCCAATATGCCGCTAGAATAGCCCTCCAATGGCTTCCTGCCTTGAGGAAAAGCAGGGTGTCACTCTTTTGGCTCATATAGTGACAAGGGCCATGCCTGTGCTTGCCATCTGTCTTTCAGCCCAGCTAGGAGCCTAGTTGGGGCTCCTTAGACAGTGGTCCCCTACCTTTGTGGCACCAAGAACCAGTTTCATGGAAGACAATTTTTCCATGGTGGGGTAGGTGAGGGGTGGGGAGGCAGGGTGGGGAGGCGGCTCAGGTGGTGGTGTGTGGCCCTATTTCCTAACTGGTACCTGGCCGTGGCCCTGGGAGGCAGGGGTTGGGGACCACAGCCTTAGACAATTACAGCCTATCCTTGGGGGTGCAGCTGAGGGTTCCCTCAGTACATTATCTGATCTGCAGAGCTGAGAGGGTCTGGAGAGGCAGGAGCAGGGGAGGGGTACAGGCTGGTACGTACACAGCCAGCGCCTGGGTGTAGGGTGCCACATCCGTTCGCCTCCACCTGCACAGGGCAGGAGGGCAGGGTGGAGATTAGGGCCTCACAGCGGCCCTGAAGAGTACAGAAACATTCTTCGGGATCCTGCTACCTGGTCACCCCAGCCCCTGGCAGTGTCCCTTGCCCTCCACTTCCCCACGTCCCTCTACCTACCCCCTAGGGCAGAGTTGCTCAAAGCATGCCCTGCATCGGAATCACACAGGGGTTCCGAGGTTTGGGGCTGTCAATAAATAAATAAGAATCACTTGGGATATTTGTCATCCTAAGTGTCTTCTCAAGGCCCAGAATCTCTGAATGTTAAGTGTTAAAAACTTCTGAATGCTAAGGAAACGGTTTCCTGGCGAGCACGTTGCAGATGATTCTGACACAGAGAAGTTTGAGGGTCGCTCCTTCAGGGAGTAACCCCGATTGATCCTCTCCCCACTGTCCCCTAAATGGTGTCACCAAGTCTGTGCTTTTCAGTGCCATCTGGATGCTGATGGCTTCCAAATGTCCAAGCAGGGTTTTTCCCCTGGAACTCTGCTCAGCTGCCGCCTCCGCAGCCCCGTTTGGCTGTCGGGTGTGCATCTCAAGGCCGCGGTGTCTACAGCAGCACTTGTTACTCCCCCACGGTGGCCCTCCCCCAGTCTTCCCCACCTGAGCCACTGGCACCACCGCTCCCCAGTTCAGGCTGCAAACCCAGGAGTTAGTCCTTCCCGCCACACATCTAACTCCTCAGGCGGGTCCTATCTGCTCTACCTTCCAGACAGGTGGTGAACGCAGTCACTTGTCAACTCCCCCACTGTCATCTGGCCAAACCCATGGTCCTCTCTCCCCGGGACCTGTGTGAGTCTCTATCCTGTCCCTGAGTCTGATCTCCGGGATGCGGCACAGCGCTCGTGGACTGGAGGAGCGGGGCAGAACGCAGGCGGAGGCCGCTGAGGCGGGACT